GCCGCAGTACACAAAAAAAGTTGAGCTAATCCTCTTATTTCCTTGATAGAAGGGAGGGGGTATTGATTGTTATCTAGAGCAATGTGCGTCCGTCCCTTCTCTTTTTCCCTGGCAAGTTCTTTCTCGCCTAATTGAACATCAGATCTCCCAAGCACTGGTTCACAGCAATCTTGGGGCCATGTCAGGGAAACATCTCAAAACAGAAAATAAGGAATCTGCTCCGATGGACGATGACAAACCACAAGATATGTGTCACCTTTAAGTGTTTGTAGGAGATTTTTAAATGATATAGGCGGAATGCCATGTCTTGCTAGTTCTCCGAAGATGTATTATCAACTATTCAACTTTATTAGGAAGAAACCTACTAGTCTCATACCTCGTCGGGAATTTATGATAGAAATGTTGTATTTTTTTTATTTTTAACCAGTTTTTTGTCTTATTCCCATATCTGATTGGAACATGGTTTATTAAACCCAGGATTCCAGACTTGTTAAGGGTTCCGTAAAGAGAACTCTGAGGCAAAGTTGTAAGTTGTAATAGTGGCACAATCAGCAAGGAAATTTAATTTACTCTTTGAACGCTTGCAAATAATTTAAAGGGGAACATCAGAAAATTATAACATTGGTTAGAAAACTGAAAATGACTTAATTTGTGCAATGCTTTTTTTCATGTGATTCTCAGTTTACTTTTAAAAAGTGTATGAAATATTGAGAAAGTTACATCAAAATCCAGTTCAATGGAAGCACAGGCAGACATACTAAGTAAATTAGGAGCAAAATAGTAACATTGTTTAATTTTTTTCTCTCATGTTTTACGTCTTATGCGTTCTCTTTTCTGATTGCCAGGTGCAAAGTACAGATCTTATGACAAAGACTGACAGCGAGCCAAAATGGAGGTGCCCAGTTGTAGGATAAAGTGGCGTAGATATCTACATTTAATTTTATTTTTCACACCTTATATGTGATAACTAAGCATAATATGGTGGTAAGCACTGTTCCCCCGCGTGCACATACCTTTTTGAGGGAGCGCACATGTCGTCCGAATATGTGCACAGTTCCTCAATGGTGTGTCATGGAAGGCCCAGGAGGTGGCCACCTTAGGGCAGCCCCTGGAGCGGGCACTTAATCAGCAACGGAAAGTAGGCTTCTGTCAGTGACTGTGGATGTCAGTGTGTGTTTCAAATCAGTGACATTGTGTGTCTATTATTGATTCTTGATTGTCACATCTGTGTGTTTAAGAAGCATTAATGTATATGTTACCATTTATTGGGCAAATAACTCCCTTTGAAAACTCTATGGGTGACATTTCTCCATATGATGTTTGCTATTGGTGTCTGCTGGATTGGGTTGTTTGTTTCTCCTGTGTGCTTTGGACAAATCCCATCATACCAAGATAAATTTTTTGTTTTTAAGAAGAATTAATGTACATTTCACAATTTATTGGGCAAAGCGCTCATTTAGGAAATTCTATGGGTGACGTGACATCTCTCCTCCTCTCCATATAATGTTTGCTATAATTGTGTCAGCCGAATTTGATTTATCTGTAAGAAGCATTTATTATTTATATATCACAATTTATTGGACTGCATTCACGGTCAGGGCCGGACTGGGGATACAAAGCAGCCCTGGAAAAAAAATTTGTGCCAGCCCCATAAGTCACTGCGCCATATATTGTCGCGTGTAATATGTAAGGCTATGTCTTGCCAGGACAGATGATTGAGTAATATATATATTGGCCCTTTCAGGGTAAAACTTTTAATTATACAGTAAGCATACTCACATGCAGACACAGGCAATTTCACTGACATCTCAATGACACACACAAGCTCATTGATACACAGCCTCATAGACAAACAATCTTACTGATATACATCAGCTCATTGACATAAAAACACAAGTTCACTCACTAGCAGGCGCACGCATGCAAGCAAGCTCACTCACTAGCAGACGCACACACACAGCTTAATGTAGTGGTACTGGTGTCTATAGCATGTCCCTACAGGCTTTTCAACGTAAACACTGATTTTTCAGAGAAAAG